GCTCCACCCACAAATTTGAGTGCCACTGCGTGGCACTTTTCGGGGGAATGGGGCTTCGCCCCAAGGGGAATTATAGTCTAAGCCTAACCTAATTTTTATACAAACCTTGATACTATTGCAAATGGAATTATGCTCTGTATGTGAACCTAAAATCTCGCTACGCGAGTAAAACTCTGAATCGTCATTAATATATTTGCTGCAACTCGTTTGCGCATATTCAAAATTTTTTACTTAAAACTCGACGACTAGTTTGCGCACGACAAAATCAGTCATTTACTTGAAAATAGATAACTCGTTTGCGCACATTCACACCCATGACACGTATAAACATACATCGTCATAGACTGCAGTACAAATGATCAAATATATTATCATTCAATCGACTGTGTAGACTGTAGATTATATAAATTTGGATTTTCCAGGCAAATTTTAATAGTTTCGGTAGAAATGGACGATGTATATATATATAATATCGGTACAGTGGTAACCAGTGTGTTGACGACGTAAACTTTAATATGGCGTAGAAATTTCTAATATTTTTGAATCACGGTGAGGAAAACGATATTTTAATATTGATGATTATAAATTTAGTGAATACCATGTTTTAATGAGTGGATATTCAAATTTTGGATGCATTAATAAAAAATGTCCTGCGAGTGTTATTGTTAATAAATCAAACAAAATAATAATAGTAACCAACTCTCGTAATCATCAGGAGTATTATAATCAACGATAATAAGCAAACGAGTTCCGACACTAAGGATTTTCGTCACAGGTAGCGAAAATATATACGCAATCGAGTTGTGCATTTTTGCCCAAATGAGTTGTAAAAAAGGTAAATGTTCGCAAACGAGTTTTAGCCAATATATATTATAGTAGTCTCCATCATAATCAAACATTGTATATCATTATTTTATTATTTTAAATGTATTATATAAATTTTTATTTTGGTCGAAAAGGGAATCGGCCTATTTTAAATTTGGTCGAAAAATGAATCGGCAGAAAAGGGAAGGGTACGGTTTTGGTTGAAAACGGACTCGCTCATTCATTTATACCATAAATCGTTCGATATATCGTTTGTCGAGATTGGTGCCTGAGTAAAAATATGAAAGTTAAATAATTTCCGACTCTAGGAATTTCTCAATGAACTTTTTCGAAGAGAAATTTTCCTGAATGAAGTTTATTCATCGCATTCAGTCGGAGACAAAACCGAATTTTTATAATCTATGTTGTTTTTTCGCTACACGTTAAAGTGTATATGTATTTTATACAGGACAATATGACACGTAGATGCGGCCTGAATTATTGGCCACTGAGTGTTTAAACGAATCGATTGTGGTGAAGGACACAACAAAGGGCCTTTCTTATCGGTTGATACTTGATCGGTTTATGGGAGGGATGGAATCCTTAGCGTCTGGTGACTAATTACCATAACTACCACGTTAACCATTCTCCAGTTTTAAACAGACGTTTTTGTCCACCCAGCCAGTGAGACAAAGGTCGAATGGGGTTGGTCGTGCACAAAGATCTATTGGAACTCCGTATGTCACCGGTGTGAAGCCATGGCGTGGGGTAGCAGCGGAGCAGGGTCGAGTAATCGTATAATAGTATTACGCGACGTAATAATACGGTTACACGTAAAAAACATGACTGGCTTTTCCTTTTTCCAAAATACATAATTCTCATCACGATGGACCCTCAGCTATACGATATTGTTATTATGGTTATTATTATCAGGTACATTGTCGTGGTTAATGTGTTACAGTGATGATTTATGCTTCAGTTTGATGGCACTAAAAACTGATCGAATTTACACGTGTATTTATTGCACTGAAAATAAAAATTCACGTAAATATAAGATCGGTATATATATTATAATAGACATTTAATATTTTATAATTTGTCTTTCCTAAGAAGAAATAATTCATTTTCAATCTTTTCGCGTACAGTAAACTTTATTGTATAAATTGTATCGGGCTGAAGATGTGTTGTCATAATTGCAATTCGTATTTTTGTAAATTACCTATAATAAGTAAAAAATTGCATCTAATTTCGCAGTTGCATATACTTAGAGTCAAACTGATTCATTATCATTACTATTGTTTATTTAATTTTGACTTCGTTAAGCAGTTATTGAAATCCTATTACGTTGACGAAAATTACCAATAAAGATAATAATAATAATTATTTAAGGAAATACGAATAAATTATAACATACTTCATTCGTGCACTTAAGTGTATTTTAATCGTATTTTAGGGTTACTTAGATTATCTCAGTATAATTTTTTTTTATCAATAAACATAAAAAATTATTTTAAAAAAAATAATAATTTTTTTTTATTATTATATTTTCAATAACTGTTAGCCTTTGGGTTAATTTATTTTAGTTCCCTTAATATTATTGAAAACTCCATGTCAACACACAAACGCATATCCGCACAAAAATGTATTGCTTTTTTCCTTTAATAAAAATATATATTAAAATCTAAAAAAATTAACTAATATAACTAAAACTAAAACAAAATAAAGTTGTATCAACATAGCTATCCACTAAGGAAAATTTCAATACCGATAATGTTTGAGATCCACTGTGATAATTGGCAATATATACGGTCTACGTATGGCTCTTTCTTAGTTTGGTCGATGGTTGTAAGTTTGAGTTTGTACAAAATTAGGCACCAGTGTTTGATTGCTGGTAGAATTTTATTCAATTCGATATTTATTAACTATTTACGTCGATTTATGCTGTTCTGGAATTTCAGGGTAATAAATCAAATAAGTCACCAAGTAATCAATTTTATACCAATTCGTTTTAATGGATAATTTATCTAAAATAGTCTCAGATATGACTATTGACATTTATTATTGATAGCCAATTTTCGAAATAATTTTAATACTTCCTAGTATTTACAGTGAACAGATGAAATGTGGGCCAATTAATTGTGAAAATATATATTTATATTTATATAAATAACATCCACTATAAATTATTTCAGCATTTAGCACATATATAAATCAAAGAAAAGAAGAATATATATTTATGTTAAGATAAATTCATCTTATTTATCTATTTAAATATTTTAATTTTATAGATAATACTCTTTAAGTTAAAAATAACATGCATAATTTACGAGGCATATTTTTTAAAATAAAACAAAATTTCTATTTCAGGTATTTTCTCTTTTTTGTGGAATTTGGCTCGTATTGTTTCGAAAACATTATGTAGATTTTTATTCATTTCTACCACATATATTTTAGTAAAATGATATAAATTTCAATAGTTAAAATTTTAATAAGAACGTAGAATGGTCATTTTCAAACATATATATCAAGCTTAAAAATATTTATATAAGAACCGAGAATTTTCGTTTGTTAAATTTAATTTGTATAATAGTTTTTAAATTGAAAAACCCTTGGATGTTTATATAAATGCTCGAATGCCTTAATAAAGCTAAAGTGAATTATTTCTATGTATAGAAATTGCGATCGCTATATTCAATCTTCAAAAATTATCTATATCTACACATTTATTTAATTTATTTTTATAAGAGTTATCATCAATATTACTAAATTTAAAATCACTTTATTTGATGTTGTTTATGCAGTCAAACGTAAGCTATTGAATTTTTGAAAATATCTAATATATTATCAACACCGAACCAAATTCAATGGAAAATATTTGATCAATTTGTATTCCGTACCGTGGGGTAGTTTGATTTGATGAAATACTGTTGAACAAAACGAATCATGAATTATAATATAGGCACGCAGTATGGCCGCGTGTGAGAAAACCGAACGGTTACGGCAAAAGTCTGAACCATTTGGTTTCGAACGAATTACACTGGTTATAGGTGCGTTCTATTTTAACTCGAAAAAACGATTTCTGTGTTCGGCGAACACGGAATTGCACTCGGGCACCGTTTTATTTCAACTATTTGTGAAACGGCAGCAGTCTTCTGTGTGAAACAATTTGTGTGCTCGAATATCCTTTATTAGGTATTTATTTTATGCTTTTAAAGTGACCGCAGTTTTCTTATTATTATTGTTATTATTATTATTATTATTATTATTATTGTTGTTGTTGTTGTGTACGTATTTCATTTTCATAAGCGTCTATTGAATAAATTGTATGAATGAATTTCAAAGCGTTTTCGACGGAGTATATTATACACTGTTTTTATAAACAGTGTTCGAAAATAAACGAATAACATAATATATACCTTCGTTGTTCTCGAAGTTTTCGAAATTCAAAAGCAAATGTTTTCGATATTTATTGAATGTAATTATATTTTTGTTTTATTTAAATAAATATACGAGGGAAACGAATTTAAAAAAAACTCATTATATTTCGGTAAAACGTTTTATATACTTTTGAAAATGTTCATTCTTTTTGTAATTTGTTTAAAGAAAGAATTGTTATCAAGTTTTTAGTAATATTCCTAAATATATAGATATTGTTCAATTTTACATAATTACATCTTACTCGAAGTATCTTTAAGTAGTACAACTGTTGAAAATGGAAAATTCTACTTTTCCAAGGGAATGAAACGCAAATTGAACTTCTTAAAAAGTTTTTCTTATTGCACTTTAAATTTCAGTTAATCATCTAAAATATATAATATCGATGAAAATATCAAAATACCTTCAATCCCAACCATGACAAATTAAGTAGTTAATTTTTAATTTTTAATTACTTTCTAAATATTTTGCTCAATAATAACACGTAAATAACCGAAAAACTGAAATTTAACAATAACCAATATGAAGAAGTCGCTGCTTACAACGGTTTTCAAAACGACCAACGGATCGACGGTAAATTTTTCGATGCATTTTCGATGAAATGTTTATTACAGAAGCACAACGTAAAATGTTCGAACGAAAACTAATGGTAATAAATATCTAATCTTGATCATCGATGAGTTCATAAAGTCATAGTACATTATTAAGATCGGTTTTTACGGGTATATCCATGCATTTTTAATTCGCGTCATTTCGCTTACCTTCCAGTATGGCGTCAAACTTGTCGCTGTGGCCTTCTCCGAGCTTGATGAATATCGGAGGGTTCTGTCCGTCTTTTCTGTAAATGAAACCTGAAGCCGATGATTCTAGATCTTCGACCGTGTCGCGTTTCTCCGCATACGTTTCCCGTGTCCGAGCACCGCGCACCACCGTTAAAAACGCCGCGGTCGCTGTCACTATACGTACTATCGTCGTGATACGAATCCCCATCGTATAGCAAGAATTATGTTTACTAAAGGGCAAAGTGGATTGGTGTGCGGTTTTCGAGTGGAAAACGGATATCGTTCGTTACGTCTTGGCAATTTTGTCGTCGTCGATCGATCGAAATCGAATGATCCAGCGATCCATGTGTTGCTGACGGACACGCGTATATAAAGAGATCGACCCTCGAGCCCACTCCTCGCCGGATCGTGGATCACGAGGGTGGGGTCCGCCACGGCGTGGACCTTGAAAACGATCTAACATCCGTCGACGACGGGTGGAGGATTGCTGTTACGGTTTGGTTTTCGAATGGCCAATGCGCGGGTGGTGTATCTAACACTTCGGCGGGTGACAACGCACAGAGGGGGGGGAGGAAATGGAATAACGATAGTTATAACAAATAAATATCTGTAGTTGTACATACGTCTGCAATGAAACGTTTTTGTTCGGCGTGTTTTCTTGTAAATATTTTTCATTATTTCGTAATCCGAAGATTCCATTTCAGTACACTGTTTGAACTGTGCACCAGACGGGGGCGGCGAAGACCTTGAATTCGCAACGGTCTAGAAATCTGTTCGTATTACGGCATATCGATGACGTATTAAGAACACATACTTCGACTGTTATATCCACCATGTGTGTCTTTTTGTCTCAGGATAATTTTCGATGGTTAGATTATACGAACAGATTTAAAAAGCTTTCGACGCTAAAGTTCATACTACGCATTTATATTAAATGCTTAAATGCAACAAAAACGATTAGTTGAAATAATATTAAATTGTATACATTAAGTGAGCAGATGTGATCTTGATGTTTATAAAATATGCCTTTATAGTTTTTGCAATACACATAATATAATATCCAACATAAACTCGTATTATTATTCTGTCACCCGTTTATTTTTTTTATTGTTTTGTATTATGAATAAAAAAACTATATTGTAACATTATTACGCACAGATGCTTTTTTAATTTATAATTTATTTACTTTATTTATATTTGATTTTATTACATCATGTAATCACGGTGGTTTAATCTGCATAATCATTTATCTTACACTCGGTAACATAGTAATTATCGCTTTCAGTGAAGAAAATCCACTTTTAGATAAAGCATCCTCGATCAAATATTGTTACGAGAAAAACTATAACGTATTCGAAAAAAGGTATTCATCGTATTCAGTCCATTCAACATTTAGCATTTTAGCTTTACCCTGGGGATCAAGCATGAGCAGAGCGTAAAGTTTCAAAAAAATATTTTCTTTTCCATTTTAAAAATGTACAATAACATGTGAACTCGTATTTATAAATGTAATAATTTATGCGTAAAAACACGTAAAGTATCTTCTATATGACGTGTACAAATTGTAATAAAACTGATTTCGCAAAATCAAATAAATGTGAGTAGAGTTTTATTTTATAACACTCTATGTAAAACGTGTTCCCGTTCAGGTTTTGATGCGAGGAATCTCTAGCACAAATCGATTTGTAGAGTTGCGCTTGTAGGTAGGGCTCCGTTTACCACGAGGAATTATATGACGTATGGGGTTCAAATTACCAATTTTTAAAAATTGAAAATCTCAAGCGCACTCGATTACCTACATATGTGAAAATATCACGATCAAATGGTCTTAAAAAATCTGTACTCAAGTGACAATACTTGCAATTCTCAGAACTACATATACCGTGCAATGGAACACCAATATTTTTGATCTCCATTTTATGACATTATTTACAACAAAATATTTCACCATATTACATTTATTGTATTCGAAAAGCATAACGTACGAATAAATGAATGTTTTTCAATTCATATTTTTTTATTTTTAAACGTATACAGAACGAGAATAGTCCCGTGTACTCGTTGTTGTGTGTAGTTTTTGATAAGTGTAATTATAATATCATATATAGTATATTAGTACAAGTGGTGCACGCTCGAGAAATATTTGGTACGCTTAAAAATTTGGAAATACTGCATTAGGTGTACGCATGGTTGATGGAAACAAAAAAATGTATTATTTGTTTACCGTGTCGATAGCAAAATTAAGTCTAATGCGATATACGATAAAAATGCGTGAGATCCATATAGAAACCTTTATAACATAAACACACACATACACACACATGTTTACAACGTTGACAGACACATTGATTGATATACGGATATTTTCATTAAATATGAATGTATATCTCTAATACCGAAACGCTAAATGTGGTGTATTTCACGTCGCCTTGGTATTATTTGCCAATTATTTATTACCAAATCCGGATTACAAATAATAAAATATTGCATTTTTATTTTATTTTTTATTTTTACTGGTTGGTTAATAATATTCATTATGATATTATTAAATTATCTAAAACATATATTTTCAATACATTTGTAATGAAACCTTTTCCATCTCTTCTTCCGATGCTGTTCTCTATGATATTGTTGTCCTTTTTATAGATTGGAATAATTTTTTTCGTATGAGCTTTATTTTATTTTCGATCTATTGTGGAACATGTAATATTATTCGGGTGAGAATAAATAACTCAACGATATGTTTGTATTTCTATGTTTTAAATATCGTATAATTTTTTATAAGTATAACTATTCGTTATCATTTAGAAAAACCGGAAAATTGATCAGCAGTTTAGTCGAGTTAACTAACTTTTTTTTCCATTTTAGAGGAAGTCGAATGACTAACAGAAAATCGATAAACAAACATTACCTTAACATCAATTAGTTTAATTTCCAAATACCTAATTATTCACCAGCCAACATTTACCTAACCTAAATCACAATGATAACTTTTAAAAACAAAAACTTACATGAAGGAAATTATAAAAAAATATTTTTGTAGTTCTAATAATATCAGAGATACTCAAAATTAATTTAATTAGTACCGTTGAACAAACATTACATTCGTTTTATGTTTGCTCAACGGCGCGAAATTGGATGAAACATAAGTTTGTAAAAAAACTCAAATTGTAACGTCAAGTTTTCAATTTAATGTTAACTTAATTTTAAATTATTAAGTCCTCAATACGTGTACCTTTGCATTGTAGTCAAAGTTTGTACATTGCTCATCATCTGTGTTCAATCAGTCGAATGTGAAAAGTAATCGAGTTAATATTAATAACTAATATTAAAACATTTTAACAGCTGGTTTTGATTATAGTAAGTCGAATAAATCTAACAGTCATTTTAAAGTTATCAACAAATTTGAAATAATATAAGCATTTGAGTGAAACTGGTATAAATGAAATTCATATGGAATACAAAAACACTTTTATGAAAACCTAAAAGAAATAAAACTATGGAAACTCTTATGTCTAGGAAATCATGAAAAACATTTTTTCCATGATTATTATATGTGTTGTTCAATTATAGTATATTGTCTAAGTGGATTTTAAATTCCGTGTAAAAACATAAGATAGTCTATAAATTAGCACAGAAACAGTTTAATTCGGTTTTAAAAATTGTAAAGGAAATTCTTAATTTGTTTTATAATAATAATAAAATAAATAAAATATCAGTGAACACTTTTTAAAAAATCTTGAAGAGATTATTTTGTTTTTCGCAATGTGCAACTGAAAATTAGCGCCCAATTTAGTAAAAATGAGTTTACATGATTATATGTTTTATTATTATCTTCAAATCTCAATTGTCACATAGAAACTTATCGAGTATCTACAAAGTCTGTGTAAATGTACTGCAAAGCTTTTGCACACTTTCTGTGTGGTTTTTATTTAATTTTACGAATTTGAATAATCGTCTTGCTTTGATGTTTTTACCTCGAATTGTTTTATGAAAGTATTTAAGTCGATTTAAATATCATAACCTGTTGCTGCTGATGTACATTGTGCTCGTATACCGTGAAATTATTTTGTTTATCTGTTATTGTTTACGACCAAATCGAGTTAGGTTTATAATAAAGCTCCGCCGAACTTTAACGGCCCCAATAAGATTATTGAAAGTTATTACGAAACAAGTAACTACTAGTTACTATTAGTTATTATTATCTACACACACGTCGGTCGTATTGAGAGTTTTCGTAAATCAACAAACTAGATTTACGTACAATTATTTACAATTAGAATGATGATTGTTGAGTACAACATCGTCTACCTCTTTTGGAATTTTTGGGATTTGTGTTTATGAATTATTTTTGTTTCGAATGCATTGTTTTTCCAACCACTCTTCTTCCAATAAATGACGATTGATTAATATTTATTTTATTGAAAATAGAATTTATAAAATGTTCGCTAAACGAACGGTCAACGTTTTCACTTATACGTGTGTATAATATAGTTGTTTATGTATTTCAATAATTCGTTTCCAACGTACTTATGAACATAAAAAGTGTGTTTACGAACAACAGCCGAAACCCACGGGACAGTCGATATTGAATAAACACATTTCAATTTCGAAACAACTGTTGCGTACAAAATATATTGTATTCAAATATTTTGCATTTTATTCGTGTGCTACAATTATTTATAGAGATTGAATGAATATGATAATTTTGAGAGTAAAAATAATAGTTTAAAAGGAATAGTCTTGGCAAAGAGATATTCTAAAACAGTTGATCAATAGAGTTGTAAAAGAATGATAGGTTTTTTCATAATTTATCAATCTAATGGGTTTTTGTGTTCGTTTTTGTGCTATGGCATGGAATTAATTTTATCAAAACAAATTTCGCAGATAATTCCATTTAGTGTTAATTACTAAACACACCACGTGTTAAAATACAATTAAAAATCACTTTATAGCAAAGTTGAATGGTGCAAATTTAATTATGCATTAAAATGTACTGATAATAAATTACGAACGTTCTAAAGAATCGGACATGACAATTATTATAAATGTTCAATGTTTAATGTTAACTGCAAATCTTAGTGTGTTCATTTTTATTTTTTTAAATAAATTTACATAATAATTATAAAAATAAAAAATATATCTGGTTTGGAATTCAATGATTACTTTTGAGAAACCAGTGTTCGAGCGGAGACTTATTACTTACACGTTCCACGTAGACATTATGATTACGAAGGAAAATGAATATTTGAGATTAAATGTCATATAATATGATCCAAGAATTGCAAAAATGTAAAAACTGCGGACCAAACGGTCGAAGCTCACGTATAATTTGCAATATATGTATGC